ATTGGGATTTTAAAATAAGTTGCACATTAACACGTTTTCTCCTCTACAAGAAGGCATACTCAGAATTTCTATATGACGGTTCGTCTCTTGTCCTCCAGCCTCAACTTTATTACTTCTTAAGCACGCTATATTGGATTTTTGCACATATACATAATACATAATACGTTATACGTGGACATTGTCAAACTTTCATTACTTTAAGAAAAACCGAACTTCTTAGGTAGGCTTTGAAATTATCAGATGTTTCTATCGCTCACCAGATTTCTCTCAAAACCGCTCTATTTTTTCCGGACCCTATTTGAGATGGGATTTCAAAATAAATTGCATATTGTCATTGTTACTTATTCTTGTTTGGAAGATGGCGTAGTCAAATTTTCAATTCGACATTTCTTCTTTCGATTTCCATCATCAAATTTGTTTTCTCATACAGACACTATTGGAATTTTGTACATTTAACTGGACTTTTTAGGCCCTGAATTGAATGATTGTTAGTGGACCATTCATTTATTGTTGGATGAAAATCAAAACAAAATAAAAAGATATGGTGAAACCTGAATACGAAATGAAAATCTTATTGATGGTAATAACGGTAATGACCATAAATAAGCAGAGATATTCACAGTCTTCCAAACTCTGTTGCTATGAAATCTAATAATTCCATATTTTAAATCAGAATAAAAAATCTATTCATGTGTGTAAGAATTAAATATGGCGTCTAAAAGAAAAGATTAAGTTGATGCTGGAGGACAAGAGACGAAACATCATAATGAAATTCCAATTGTGCCATCTTATAGAGGAGAAATGTGGCAGAGTTGTGAAATCCTACCAAAAATAAAGTCAGGAGAAAATTAAAACCATTTTGGGAATTTTCGTTTTTTTACGTCTCTTTCCGGTACTTTCAATTTCAAAACTTTCTAAGCGACAGTTTGCTGATTATCTGAATATGCAACTTTGCCCCTATTTAAGTGACTTTGTATCGCTTGAAGTTTCCGAAATGCCAATGGTGAGGGAAAATATTATTTCCACCCCAGCAAAAACAGTCACTCCCTCTCCATGGGCACCCGTGAGAAAAAGCTGTATCACAAAATCTCCAGAATTCGCTACTTGGTTAATTTTTCATCAGCTTTGGGTTGAACTGACATAGCTAGAATATATAAATACTGTTTGTGCATACACTTCGAGGCTGGGCGACAAGGGAACAGGGAACAAAAACCCTACTTTCGAGTTTTATTAAAAGTCATTCACACTATTTTGTACATTTCTCATGCATAATCACTGCAGACGTTTATTCAGAATTCTTACTATGTATTTCCTTCTTCAACTTGTCATTCCATGTGTGGAATCATATTTCTTAGAATTTATGTTAACACTTCATATATGAGAATTGGTAATTACTGAGTAAATCTACTTTTCTACTATTCGAATAATTATTGTACTTGATTTCGAGCTCTGACAATTTACTGGAAAAATGTCTGCTGAGTGATTTGACAGTCATCAAACAGTCAGAAGATTCTGTACGAACAGCGGATTAGTCGTCGATAATCGGTTTGACCTCCGTCAGCCAACTAGTAACGTTCTCATGTTCGCAATTAATACAGTCAGCGACGTTTCAGTGGCAGCTAACTGCGTAAACTAAGTCATGACTTGTTGCCGACTATCAGGTTGCTGATTGTCAGCAACCAGGCTGTACGAACAAACCAATTATACACGTTTTGTACGCAATAACCCTGCCGAGTAAAAGTTTAGACTACAAGGATAATAGGGTGAAAAGAGCATGCAAGCATTATGGAAGAACATTAAGCAACAGTAAGTAGAGAAGAAATATCGATAGTCTCTTTGTGAAGCCGTCTTTGGTAACGCTATTTTTGAGCGTGTAATAAGAGGATCTATTCTTTGGAGAATTTCCTTTTAATTCACCGTCGATTAGTTTGCAGAACGTGAGTAAAATGATTGTCAAGCTGTATAAATACGTTCAACTCACAAATTGTCAAACGTCTATTACAAAAGGCTGGCGCTACTTGCCGATATTCATTCAACTTCACTTTGTGGATTTGTTATCTGCCAATAAATCGAAATAGCATACAAATTTCATTATTATTTTATATTACTTACTAAAATATGGCACAGCTAATAAATAAAATTCGTTATGGCATTAATAATAAATTTAATACAGCCTTGTGTGAAATATAAACGTCTTCCCTTGAACGTTCATCAAGGAAGCGTTATTGTCGGTTTAAGATTCAAAAAAAGATCATTTCTCAAACAACACTCAATCCTCAACGAAGTATGTTCAAAGTACTTAAAAAATCGAATAGTACGAGTATATTATTTGTATACTTAGTATTGCAGCGCGGAATATTCTTTTAGTTATTTGGGTACCGGAAGGCGCAGATATATCTGGCGATTATGACTGGCTGGAAGGGCTCCTCATCCTGGAAAAGTTTAAAAATATTATAGCCACAGCAATAAAATCAGAGTTATGCGCCATCTCATAAACGTATGAGCGCGCTATCGGAGAAAACAGATGGCACTAAAAATTTTTATGATTGAAAATGCATAGCTATAAAACTGTGCCACCTGATTTTACTTTCCAGAATCACATGCCAGTCATTCCAATGAGCGTGCGTTTCCATAGATATTCTTGCAAAATAGTATCATGTTATACATGGATTCGATTCTTCGGATTTAGATTTTATACAGGCCAGTAGCATATGGTGGAGGTTACGAATTCTGCATAAAACCTTAAGCATTCAAATAGGAAATCAACGACTTCCGATGGTGGTGTCTGGGCATTGCCGAACGTAGCTTTGTGCATTCACTCGTCTGTACTGATTTGAAGATCGATTTTAAATTTCTTCAACTTGTAGCACTGAACACAGTGTCACTCAAATGCCCAAACATGTAAGCATCTTCTTTCATGACACCTGGGATAACAAACTCTAATATTAGCTCTGCATACCATATACCTAAAATCACCACTTGTATTCGTTTGAAATTCATGATCGTTTTATACTATTCTTATATGTGGATCCTCTATCGAAGGTTAAAACCGGGGAAAAAGCACATAAACCAATATTGAGTGCAGCGGGCTGTGAATGAAACATCGCTATGAAAGCAATTTTATAAAATTCATCACGACTTAAAAGTTCACCGAAAGGGGAAACTCGGGGGAAAGTTTGTAATCCTTTTATGTTCAATACAATTTTAGAACGCGGGCGCGGCCAGAATGTCAGAGAGGCTTTGTTGCTACGTGAATTCCCGAAGGAATGAATGCAATTAGCATTTTGCGATCCTCAGTTTCATGGATAACTCCTTAGTCACCCCTTTAACTGTATAGGAAAATTAGAACTTCGCTCGTAAAAAGTGATTAAAAATAACTGATCTTTCACTAGGTGGCACCACCATTGCATCCTTAGGCAAATGCTAGACCTTTAGTATTCACTGTGATAGATAGATGGATTTTCTTGTTTCCAACAGTTACTAAGGTACCTAGGTCGAATATGGCCAGCCTGTAAATATGGCCACATACCGTTTTCCCAAAGACGAAAGTTTGTTATGAGCTGAACGCGACCCTAAATTGTCGCTAGTGTCGCATGTATTCGAACGGCCTACCTGTCACCCATCCGTGCAAACGTTAGCCGCTCAGCCGTCATTATAGCGAAAAGCAGTGTTGAGGTTATAAAAACAGTAAGTAAGTATTGTCCTGTATTTTAACGTTGTTTTCATTATAAATCTTTATTATTCACATTACGATGTTGTGTAATAATTGTAGTTTCATATTTCATTGTATATTTATCAAAGTAATAGTGTGTTTTTCATTCGTGAATATGAAAACAAAAAATTTGGATGACTGCAAATATGGGCACCGTTTGGCCATATTAACAGTACTTACTGAATTGCTGACACGTTTTTTTGTTTTTTGTTTTAGACCATGGCACGCTATAAATGTAAAGGGCTTCGAAGTAACTGGGCTAATATGAAATTAGCTTTAGCTGCAGTCAGAAGCGGTAAAATGAAAATTTATACGGCTTCCAAGCATTATAATGTGCCAAGACGCACTCTGAGACGTTATTTACAAGAAAACAAAGAGACCAAATCTACTTTGGGCCGGAAACCACTTCTTAACCCTGAAGATGAAAAGATTTTGGAATCCCGTATTATTCGTCTGTGTAATGTGGGATATCCATTAACACAGCGTGTACTTCGTAGATGCGTGAAGACATTCTGTGATCAAAATAACATTCCAGCGACAAGTGGAGGCTTGATGGTGGGACGAGATTGGCTGAGAGGATTTTTAAAACGTCATAGGAATATCAGTAGACGAAAAGCACAGAACCTAAACCCCGCAAGGGCACAAAAGCTGAATAAAGCAGTAGTTTCCGATTATTTTAGTAAATTGAAGAAAATCTTAGTAGAAAATGACCTTATGAACAAACCGGAACGTATCTATAATATTGACGAAAAAGGTTGCCAGCTTAATTTGCACAAATCACCAGAAGTTTTGGCTGAACGTGGATCCAAGAGAGTACATTTGGTAGCACCCGAACACGGCGAGAATGTAACAATAGTTTCATGTGGCAACGCTTTAGGCCATGTCATTCCGCCCATGATACTCTTTAAGGGCAAACGAATGAAGCCAGAATGGGTAGATTCTTTACCCACCGGTTCAGTAGCCCAAATGACACCCAAAGGGAGTATGAATTCTGAAACATTTGTGAACTGGACACACCATTTTGCAAAAATTAAATTGCCAGGACCTTGTTTAGTTATCTTGGATGGAGCGAAGTGCCACTTAGACTATTCGATAGTTGAAGCAGCAGAACAATTCGACATCAAGCTTTTCTGTCTCCCGAGCAATACCACACATGAATTGCAGCCCATGGACAAATCAGTATTTCGTTCTTTTGAATATTACTGGGATGAAGAAGTTTTAAAATACTGGTCTATTCACGGGGACAGGAAAATAACCAAACAAAGGTTTGGGATATTATTTTCCAAAGTGTGGGATAAAGCTGCGACACCTGCTAATGTCAAAGCTGGATTTGAAGCGACCGGAATTTTCCCATTCAATCCAGATAGGATTCCAGAAGAAGTATACGCTCCCAGCATACCTACTCATAATTTCGCAGAACCTGGAGCTTCTCCTTCTGAAAATCAAGAAAATGGAGATACTAACGACAGCGACGCTACAAATCTGTTAATTCCTCCTCAGGAAAATGAAGATACTAATGAAAGCGACGTTACTGATGCCAGTGGAAATTCTCCTTATCCTCTCCCAAATGAAGACAAAGGTAATTCAAATCCATCAAATGATTCCTCAGATTCACAGCCAAGCCAAGCAAAGCGTTGTGCTGCAACTCCAGACAACGCCTCTGATGATCATCCACAGCACCCAAATCAAGAAGATATATCGAACTTTATAGAACCCCTGCCAAGTGTTTATGACGATTACGACAGTAGCGATCACATTCCTTTGTCCAAACTAAAGCAACATCGAGTCAAAAACTGAATTAAATGTAGTCTGCTCCACAACACTTAATGAGTCATATACATCTTTGTGTCAAATGTTAAAAACTCCAGAGAAAACGTCAAGCCCAAAAACTGCTCCGAGGGCAAAAGCTATCAATAGTCTCGCATAGGCGCTAACAAAATCAATGTTTATAGATAAAAATAACATGTCAGGGCCATCAAATGCTCCTAAACAAAAAATAGAAAATATACCAGGCCCATTTAAAGTGGCTTACCAAAATAGAAAATATTCTGCTAAAAGGAACAACAGTGAAGCAGTAACTCCGAAGAAGGTTTCTAAACAGTCACGTGGTAAAGGACAATCTGAAAAATCTAAAGATTCATGGTACTGTTATGTTTGCAATGAGGACAGAATAGCAGACATGAGAATATGCTTTTTATGTGAAACATATGTCCATGAGGACTGTGCTGGATTAACAAAAGAAGATACAGATAAATTTGTATGCACTCGGTGCAGTCTGGACTAACCACGACGATGATAATGTACTCTGGATGTCGCCTAAACAATATCTTTTAAATAAAGTTGTATTAAAATCTGATGTCCATTTTTATTTCACTTATTTAGAAGTTATTTAAAATAATATATACCGTAAATATGGCCACATATATGGGCATATTTACCTACCCCGTCGGAAATATGGCCAAATTTCAATTTTTTTTCAAACTGTTGAAAATATTTCTATCATTTAATATCTTTGTATTTTTCTGCCTTCATCATAAAGTTAAATATTCAGTCTTCATGGACAACTACTTTGACTTGTTTCTTTTATCTTTATTATTTTAGAAAAAAGTTAAGAAACCTTAAGGTGGCCATATTCGACCTAGGTACCTTAATTGTAACTAATACAGTTAGAGTGAGTGACTGAAACATTTGATATAAAAAACTTCAAAAGCACATTACATGCCCTGAGCAGTTGTGTGATTGCATTTTTAGATGAAGCATCGATATATTTACCGAAAGAAGTGGAGTTTTCGCACGTAACTTACGATTTTCTTCAGCTAACTGGCACTGAATTCTCATCTGTTGCCACAGATTGTGCACAGGTACATGAGAATCAAGCTTAGTTAAAATGTATATGTTTCATCTGTATTGCCAGTAGTTATCTACATGAACTTATACATCAATACACACCTTTGTTAGATACTGACGTCGATTAATACAAAGTACCGCACGTTTAAATACCACGTTTTATGATAAATACTGACGGACCACAGTAAATACTCACAGTCAGCTAGTATTTTAAACAGTGATCTAAAATGACGTACTCGTCCGTACAAACGCACATCAGAAGATCGAAAGAATTCGGTAAGATGAAAGATACTTTGAACATCAAATTTGAATGTTATGCACTTATAATATACAATTTCTTTCTTCTGAAACTTATGTTATGATCTCATTCAAGATTTATTTACTTCCTCGAGCTTTGGCTCATTTTATTATATTAAGACTAAATATTGGCCATATTACACGCTTGACACAAACTAACAACCTTTAACTGCACGTTCATAACATAGTGCTCCAAGCTATGTATAATATTTGGAAGCTACAAAATAAGCTTGCTTCTCTTACTTGTTTTTTTTAATAATTTTACCTTAACTTACACCGTCTTTTTACGTACTCTGAATAAATTTCGTGTGTTTTCATTTATTAAATTATTGACTACAAAGGTGTCCTTTTTTTCTTTGTTATTTTAAAAACATGGCTAGAGTGCAACGCCAACTTTGTTAAAGTTAATTGGTTCTTAAATGCTTTGCGTTTTAACGTGATTGGTTTTGCTATGCTGATGTGTGCATGCATTTCATTTAGATTAAAAAAATGCATTTTATATTCGAGAAAACCACGCGCGATAGTAAGTTGCGTGATAGCTCTCAGTAAGCGATATGTTAAATGTTTTACAGAAAATTTCCTAGGAACAGTGACTGATATAAAATTGAGGTTAATATATTATTCATATTGATTTATTTTCAAATGTATCAGATAAAGTTACATTAGGGTTCAGCACAAGGTATTCCTGGATTGTTAAAAACTTATATCGTATTATATTATGATCGCATCAGAATATTATGTCACTTGATGAGACAGAACGAAAATTCCTATTAGCTTGACTATACGATTCACTTTTTGTTTTAACTATTAGAACATTTTTAATATATTCACCAAACTGAACCAAAACTAACCGCTTCCAAACATAACGCTCCTCCTCTCCTATTTTGATAAGTATAAATAGAAGTAGAGCTACATATCTACATTCTGTGCAGACAGAAGGCTAAACAGAAGAGTTATATTTCAGGCGATGGTTGGAGACAATCTCATTTCTTGATTTACTTGTACCTTTAAGGCCCAGTTTCAAAATATGTGGTTACTACTTGTGGTTGGGTGACATACACCTCTTAGTTAACTCAAGGTATCGAACGTCACGTGTTTCCTAATGATAATTTGATCATTGGTTAAATTACCACTAGTTAACTTTTATATCTCTAGGTTGGTATATACTTTCGTAGAAGAGTTATCATTTGTTGTGTTTTGGTGGTAAATTGTGGTTATGAGTGGTAGAGGTGTGAATTGAAATTATTGAAAAACTTATCAAGGAGTTATTGAAATACTGCCATCCACTATTACTGCCGACCGAAAAAGGTGCCTCAATATCAGCTCTCAGGGGTGTAAAAAGGTATGATTTAATTCGATACCCACTATCTCCAACAAGAAGACTATATTCATAAACATTTCTTTCAATGTTTTGGTCTGGCCTGGCCACCTGGTTACTATATTTCTAAATCTTAAATCAGAGTCGGCTAGTAACTGTACATTAAATAAAAAAAATGTTTCCTATTCCTGAAAACTTCTGGATTTTCTCCACCAGGTGACTGAATCTTTACATGGCTACAGTCAATAGCCCCTATGCAGCAAGGTAGTTTTGCTATCTGGTAAAAATGTTGACGTTCATTCTGCAATTCATCTCCAACAGGCATTGATATGTACGTTGGTCTAAGAGCGGCAATTGCTCGGCTGACTCTTCTTATTACACGACAGGCTGTTGATTTATTCATACCCTGATTATGTCCTGCAATTCGCAGGAATGAGCCATTTGCATAAAATTTTAAGGTCAAAAAAACCTGCTGGCTTGGTGACAGGCATTCATTTCTGACACAAGAGAGTGTTGTACATATTTTGCCTTAGTCATGTAATTCTAAAATAAAACAAGATATATGAATATTATGCTGCAAATTTCGTTTTAAACTGAGAGTGAGCAAACAAATTGATACCTACCTATGAGTTGGATATCTTATTACATCTTCAATTTCTTCAATCAGATTTTCCATTGTCAGCGGCGTTAACCGAAAACGACAAAAAAAGTCGTGATCACCATGCTCCTCAAAATAATCTGCGCAAGGCCTAAATATTCTAGCCCTCCTTATAGTCTCTTCTTCGTCGCTGCTAAATGCATTTATCTCATAATTATCCATTTTAAAACACAAACTATTGAAAATATCGAAAATTCAACGCAACGAAACCCAGAATATAATAGAAAAAATGGGGTTAGATCTTTACCGGCAGTAGTCAACCAATACCCAAGGCTTTGGTTAAATAAACTAAAGGTTGACCGGCGGTTATTGCTAAACCACACATTATGAAACATGTATAATGTTGGTTAACCAACACCTTATGGTTACCTTAAGGTAACAGCTGTTTGTGAAACGGGGCCTAAGTATCCTCCTCCTTAGTGGCCGCAGAGCGCGGATGTTAACTGCTCATTTAAGAATGGCTGCCAGACAATATCCTAAAAATACGAGCATATACCTAGAGACTGATTTTTCATGGTGGTGGTGGCAGGCCACAAAGAAGTAGCTGATAATGAGGATGGATGTCCAAGAAAACGGAAAGCATCATGGAAAAGTGTTGAATTTTATCGAGTTTGCTATGATGAATGAAGCTTGTTTGAAAGCTTGGAACATTAGCCTGCCTTCCTTTCGATGTAGATAATGCCTAAGAAATGTATATAATACGTTTACAATGCATAAAATGTGTATACAGTAGTATACAGTAAACCGGCAATTATAAAAACAATAAGGTTTGGCGCGATAAAAATAATATATAAAAAGAAATCGTCTAATTATGCTATATATTGCTTAAAGCTGCACACATATTGTAATACGCGTCTATCGACGCTCTATTTTATTAACTTCTGCTTGCTTAATATAATCTCAAATCAAATCAGAAGATATAGTAAGTAAACGTAGTAGGACAATAACGGCCTCGCTGATTTATATATTGATTAGACGATGCTGAAGACGCTGAATGAAATTTGGTAAATGGCTGAGGTATCATTATTCTATTTCAAAAATGTTCCTAATTGATTTAAAGATTTAATTTTGTTTATATAAATGATATATACGAAGTTGAGTCATTTATTTTAACAGTGAGTAGATCTGATCAAAAGTAATGTTTTTTCCTTTAACATTTTTCTGGTAAAATTAAAGTAACAAAGTTATAGCCCTTTAGAAGCTTGAGTACCGCCCTGTCTCAATGATAATATTATGTGCTCGTGTTTGTCAACAACGGATATAATCCGCCTTATCGGTTCATCGCATCGGAAACAAAAAGCGAAAGAATTTGAAACGCTTATCACGATGTCTTTACTAAAATTTTAGTCAGTTGCATTCAGTCAATGTGTCAGTCGATAACGCGTGAGTGAATAGTGGTGTTTGTTGCGTGGCTCAAACGAAATAAAAAATGGCACATGTTTACGAAAATGCTGAACTTGTGGACATGATTCTTATTTACGGGGTGGAAGTCTTTACAAAATGCTGCCGCGGCATCACGGATTTATGCGGATCGGTTTCCCAATCGAGTGCAAACCAACCCCTCGTGCCTTTGTTAATGTAGTACAAAGGCCTCGTGAATCAGGTGACTTAAGACCTCACAGGGGAGGGCATGCCGGTGCTCCAAGACCGCACGACCAAATACAGGTCCGCACTGAA